TGGGATATCACCTCACACCTGCTGGAATGGCTATCATCAAAACGACAAGAGATAACAAGTGTTGATGTGCAGAAAGTGGAATCCTTGCCCACTGCTGGTAGGAATGTGAATTGTTTCAGCCACTATGGAAAACACTATGAAGTTTCCTCAAAAAAGTAAAAAAGTAACTACCACATGATCCAGCAATCTCACTTCTGGGTATATATCCAAAGGAAATGAAATAAGAATCTCCAAGAGATATCTGCACTCCCATGTTTACTGCAGCGTTATTTGCAACAGCCAAAATGTGGAAACACCTAATTGTTTTGGTGGAAACACCATCAATGGATGAATGGATAAAGATGTGGTATGTGTGTGTAACTCACGGTGGCAATTATTTTGTAATATATAAGTGTATCATATCAACATGTTGTATACCTTAAATGTACACAATGTTATATACCATTTATATCTCAATAAAGCTGGGTAAAAATCATTATTGGTTCTACTCTGTGTGAGATGGAGAGTTCAAAGCGAAGAAGGACCTGAAGTGGTTATGTTTTTCACACAGTCACTCTGGTGGCTACACTTACAGGCTATGAGGAAGCAGTGGTGGAAACAAGGAGATCAGTTAATAGGCCATTTTGTATTAATCTAGGTGAGAGATAATAATGGCTCAGACCATTGTGATAGCAGTGGAGGTCATGAAATTGGCAAGATTCTGGTTATATTTTGAAAGTTGAGCTGACGTAATTTGTGAACAGATTGAATCTGAAATATTAGTGAAAGAAAAGAGTCACTGATGACTTCAAGATATTTGTCTGAGCAAAAGGAAGAATAAAGTTGCCACTGAGGTAGAAAGATTCAAGCAACACCAAGTTTTCTTGCTGGTGACTGGGGGGGAAGTGGCATGTACAGAGTTCACTTTTTGAAATATGATATGAGATATGGACTAGCCAGCTTGCTTGACCATACTTAAAGAGAATATAGATGTATAATAGAGAGTTTGGTGATAGATTCATAGAAAACTAAGCAAGGAAACAAATAAACAAAAGCACCAAACAATTATTAACCTCACGGAAAAAAGGAAGTTGTATAACAATGTAAAGGTAATCATAGAATACTTTATGTTTTATCTGGGAGTGTAATTTACATGGTCCCAATAATTTACAATTGGCCTACTAAAAATTGATGGGGATAGGGCAAAACCCTCCTGGAAGCAATTGGGCTAGGGGCCGGGGGTACAAGAGAGTTAATCCTCATCTTCTATACTGGAAAATCAACCAGGCGGTATCAGTAAAAGCATATTATTTACACATTGGTAATACCAACAATGGAAACAGTTGTCTTCAGGGAGCAGAAAATGTAAATGAGACAATAGGTAGGATAATATATCTTATACATCTATTCAATTTTTTAAAATTATGTAAATATGTAGTTTCGATAAAAGCAAAAACCATATTGGGATATCTACAATTCAGTTTAACTTATCAGACATGATCTATCCACATTGAAAAACATTCCATACCTTTCATTGTCTATCTCGGCACTTCAGTAAATCCAAGTCAATTAAAAAACAGTCTACATTCCTTTTGACTAGTCTGATTTGGTTGCTGTGGTTACTGAAATAATTGCAAGTAAAATACAACTGTCCCTTTACACTCTTGAGAAGAATATATTTAGATATTTGCGATACATCAAGTTATTGAATTTCCCTTCCTCAATCACATCAATAGCAGTTACTGCAAGGGCGTATGATATGTAATATGTAACTAGAAGCAGAGATGAAATGTGCTGGCATTCAGCTTTTCTTACCAGGTCAAGTACCCCATCAGCTTATGGATCTCTGAGCACTCATTTCCCCCTTTCAAATTCATGCTTTTGTACATATGGAAGTATATTGGATAGTCATTATAAATTAATGAAGCCAGAATAAAATTAGAATTATAAGATTTTACTGTATTAGAATATGGGTCATGTAGTTCAGGCTCAGAGGGATATTTCAGTTAAAAGAAGAGTTGATTAGGATTTCAAATTAATAAAAACCACTACTTAGGACAGCTAATCTTTGACAAAGGAGCCAAGAGCATACAATGGAGAAAAGAAAGTCTCTTCAACAAATGGTGTTGGGAAAACTGGACAGCCACATGCAAAAAAGTGAAAGTAGACCCTTACCTTACACCATACACAAAAATTAACTCCAAATGGATTAAAGACTTGAATGTAAGACCTGAAACTATGAAACTTCTAGAAGAAAACATAGGCAGTACGCTCCTCGACATCAGTCTTAGCAACATATTTTCAAGCACCATGTCTGACCGGGCAAGAGAAACAATAGAAAAAATAAACAAATGGGACTACATCAAACTAAAATGCTTCTGCACAGCAAAGGAAACCATCAACAAAACAAAAAGACAACCTAAGAGTTGGGAGAAGATATTTGCAAACCATACATCTGATAAGGGCTTAACCTCCAAAATATATAAAGAACTCATGCATCTCAACAACAAAAAAACTAACAACCCAATTAAAAAATGGGCAAAAGACCTGAACAGACATTTCTCCAAAGAAGATATACAGATAGCCAACAGACACATGAAAAGATGTTCAAAATCATTAACTATCAGGGAAATGCAAATCAAAACTACAGTGAGATATCACCTCACGCCCGTCAGAATGGCTATGGTTGATGGGACGGGAGACAACGTGTGTTGGAGAGGATGTGGAGAGAAGGGAACTCTCATGCACTGCTGGTGGGAGTGCAGGCTGGTGCAGCCACTGTGGAGAACAGTATGGAGATTCCTCAAAAAATCAGGGATGGAGCTGCCATATGATCCAGCTATTCCACTGCTGGGTATTTATCCAGGGAAATTGAAAACAGCGATGCATAGGGATTCATGCGCCCCTGTGTTCATTGCAGCATTATTCACAATAGCCAAGACTTGGAAGCAATCTAAGTGCCCATCAAGGGACGAATGGATAAAGAAGATGTGGTATATATACACAACGGAATACTATTCAGCTATAAGAAACGATGAAATCCAGCCATTTGTGACAACATGGATGGACATTGAGGGTATTATGCAAAGTGAAATAAGTCAGAGGGAGAAGGTCAAATACTGTATGATTTCCTTCATTAACTAGTAGGTAATAACAACAATAAACAAACACATAGAGACAGAAATTGGATTGGTGGTTACCAGAGGGGAAGGGGGGAGGGAGGAGGGCGAAAGGGATAATTCGGCACATGTGTATGGTGATGGGTTGTAATTAGTATTTGGGTGGTGAACATGATGTAATCTATGCAGAAATAGAAGTACAATGATGTACACCTGAAATTTATACAATGTTATAAACCAATGTTACTGCAATAACCAAAAAAAAAAAATTACTTAAACTTGCTCAAACACCCTGAAGGAAAAAATAGAGTCTCTCATAAAATACTTTTAACTGCTTTTGTTTTTTCTTGCCCTGATCCAACACCTTATATAGCACAGCCATTGTCTTAAAAAACATTACAAACTGATTCAGACTTTCTCCTGAATTCTTTTTTGTTCTTTCCTCCCACTTCTTCATCATAAAACTCCCTGTGCCATGATGGAAATGCAGGACCCCCTCTCCTGAAAAGAGATTGCGTCTTCTTGGTAATGCAATGAGAAGGAGAAGGATGGGAAAATTCATAAATTCATTATCTTATAAGAATAAAGTAGTTGTTCAGTTCTTGATAGGGATGTGTTGTAACCAAATGTGATCACTTAGTGAGTAGTTACCACTCAATCAACTTGAAACAAACGTATTTATTTATACATGCGCATCTCATCTATACTATCTGTAGACCTACTTAAGAATCACATATTTTAAAAAGTAAACTCTGGATTTCTCTAATATCATGCTGACTTTCAGCCTGTGTTTACTTATAAAACTACCCTTCTCTCATGCTCCCATCCTGTACCTCCCAAAGAGATAACACAGGACTGCCTTGAAAAGGGCTAGAGCCAGATTGTCCTAGCAAGTGTGGTATAGGATGAACAAGAGGAAGACAGTAGAACTTGGACATCAGGGTGTTCGCAGGAGGTAAGTCAGATTGTGCAGGCCCTTATAAGGCATTGTTAGAATTTAAGTCTTACATAGAGTGAAATGAGGAGCCATTGCAGTGTTTGCAGCTGAGAGGGACATGGTCTGACTAATAATGGACTGGAGGAGGCACAAATGAGAGCAGGGAGACCAATTAAGAGGACATTGCAGTAACCTAAAGGAGACACAGTGATAGCTTGCCAAGGTGGAAGCAGTAAAGGTATAAAAAGCAGATGACTGCCCTAGCTAACAGAATAAGACAATAGAAGAAAATTAAGGAAGAAATAAAGCTGTCTTTGTTTGCAGACAACATGATTGCCTATGTAGAAAATCCAAAAGAAATGAAAAAAAACCTCCTAGAACTAATAAGCAATTATAAGCAAGATTACAGGGTACAATGTTAACATACAAACATCAATCTCTTTTCTATATACAGTCATGCACCGCATAACAACATTTTGGTCAATGATGGACCGCATATATGACAGTGGTCCCATAAGATTAGTACCATATAGCCTACATGTGTAGTAGGCTATAACATCTAGTTTTGTGTAAGTACACTCTATGATGTTTGCACTATGATGAAATCACTTAACCATGCATTTATCAGAATGTATCTCTGTCGTTAAGGGACACATGACTGTACCAGTGATGGACCCGCGGAATTTGAAATTAAAAATATAGTATCATTTACATTAGCACCCAAAAAATGAAATACTTAGGTATAAATGTAATAAAATACGTATAAGATCTATATGAGGAACACTACAAAACTGATGAATGGAATCAAAGAACTAAATAAATGGAGAGATAGTCCATATTCATGAATAAGAAGAGTCAACATTGTCTTCCCAATATAGATCTTCCCAGCTTGATCTATATCCCAATCAAAATCACAGCAAGTTATTTTGTGGCTATTGGCAAACTGATTCTACAGTTATATTACGTGGAAAGGCAAAAGAGCCCGAGTAGACAACACAATATTGAAGGAGAAGAACTAAGTTGGAGGACTGACTTTACCCAACCTCAAGACTTACTCTACTTACTATAAAAGCTACAATAATCAAGACACTGTAGCATTGGTGAAAGAAAAGACAAATAGATCGATGGAACAAAATAGGGGCACAGAAACAGACCTATATAAATATAGTCAAAAGATCTTTGACATAGGAGCAAAGGCAATACAATGGGGCAAATATAGCCATTTCAACAAATGGTGCTGGAAAAATAGAACATCCACATGCAAAAAAATAAACCTAGACACAGACATCATAAATCTAGACACAAAAATTAACTCAAAATTGATCATAAATATAAATATAAAATGGAAAACTATGAAACTCCTAGAAGATAACATAGAGAAAACATAGATGACCTTGGGTGTGTGATGACTCTTTAGATACAACACCAAGGGCATGATCTATGAAAGAAATAATTAATAAACCTGACTTCATTAGAATTAATTTCTTCTCTGTGAAACACAATGTCAATGAAATGAGAAGACAAGAACACACTGCGAGAAAATATTTGCAAATGACACATATGGTATAGGATGTTATCCAAAATGTATGAAGAAGTCTTCAGACTCAAAAATGAGAAACAACCTGATTTAAAAATGGGCCAAAGACCTTAACAGATACTGCACCAAAAAGATATACAGATGGCAAATAAGTACATGAAAAAATGCTACACATTATATGTCATCAGCAAAATGCAGTTTAAATCGACAATGAGATACCACTACACACCTATTAGAATGGCCCAAATCTGAAACACTATCAACAACAAATGCTCATGAGGATGTGATGTGGAGGGACAGCATCTCTCATTCATTGCTGTTGGGAATGTAAAATGGCACAGACACTTTAGAAGATAGTTTGGCCATTTCTAGTGAAACTAAACATACTCTTACCACACAACCCAGAAATCTCACTCCTTGATGTTTACACAAAGGAGTTGAAAACTTATACCAACACAAAAACCTTCACACACATTTATAGCAAATTGTAAAAATTTGGATACAACCAAGATGTCCTTAAGTAGGTGAATGGATAAATGAACTGCAGTATATCCAGACAATGGAATATTATTTAGCACTAAAAAGAGATGAGCTATCAAGCCATGAAGACATGGAGGAAACTGAAACGCATATTACTAAATGACAGCAGCCAATCTGAAAAGACTTCATACTTCTATGGTTCCAAATATATGACACTCTGGAAAAGGCAAAACTATGGGGACAGTAAAAAGATCAGTGATTGCCAGACGTTGGCATAGGGGAGGGATGAATGAGCAGAGCACAGAGGATTTTTAGGACAGTGAAAATACTCTGTATGATAATATATTGATAAATACATGTCATTATACATTTGTTCAAACTCGTAGAATGTACAACACCAAGAGTGAACTGTAATGTAAACTATGGACTTTGAATGATTATGGTGTGTCAATGTAAGTTCATCAATTGTAACAAATGAACGGATCTGGTGGGGACGTTGATAATAGGGAGCCTATGCGTGTGCTGGGGAATACAGAAAATCTCTGTACCTTCCTCCCAATTTTGCTGTGACCCTAAAACTGGTCTAAAAGTCAGTCTTCTTTAAAAAGTAGGTGATTTATGAATGCATTACTTTAAAAGAGCCAACAGGATTTCCTGACTAAATGTGCAATGTGAGAGCAAGAAAAGAGTGAAGGATGACTTTAAAGTTTTTGTCCTGAATGACTGAAAGGAAAACTTCACAGAGGAAGTGACAGTTTCAAGCCTGGGGAACAACAGGAGCCCACCAAAGAGATGGGAAAGAGCCTAATATTCTCGGGTATCTACGGTCAGTTCAGGAGGACCTGGTTATGAGCCCGTTCTTCTCGAACTGGGGTTCTGACACCCCATAAAGCATGCAGACATGAAGGAGGAAGTATCTGAAGTCACCAGATAAACTTTCAAGTCTTTCCTGTACATCCATTTTACACAAATGGTAAATCATTTAAATTTTTATTTTACTGTGTATATATGTACTACAATACAAAAATCATGTGAGTGTTGAAAGTAAACTGAGAACTTCAACTTCTCAGTTGAGAAATCTCGTGAGAGTGTGTCGGGGTTAAGAAATCATTCTCCTATGTATTTAGAGTTGAAGCGCACTGGTGAGAGTTAGGTATTTGGTGGGATGGGAACAGCAGTGTGCTGGAAGATATTTAACAATTTTTTCTCCAGGGGGGAAAAATACCCTGATTTGTACAGTTTGCCAATTTTTGTGGTGTAAATATTCCTAATAGGACTGACTTCAAGCTACTGCCGTGGAGCCACTGAACCCAGAATTGGAAAGGGGTACACACAATCAGTTCTCAAGAGCCGATACAAACCAGTTCCAGCACACCACTGGATGGGAAACACGTAGAGACGGGAAGTAAAGGCAGGATCATGAAGTATCCTTTCTGCTAAGACTATAAACAATAAAGAGGCAAAAAAGAGTTTTATATTTTAAATTTTATAATTTAGAAATCTTACTTTTCTAGCGAGATGAAGGAAAGGTTGTTTCTGAGACCAACCTGGGGAAAGGTGAGCCAGTAATGATGCAACAATCCAGACAAGAGACAGTGAAAGGCCTGGAGTACAGTAGAAACAGCACGGTTAGAGAGGAGGCTCAATTAAAAACTGGTCATCCTTTAATAGCCGTAACAGGTACAAAGGCTGTGGCCCAGGGGCTGAGCATGAAGTGACCCAATAAGAACTTCTCCCATCTCTGGTTAATTAATTCATCCAACAGTTATTTATTGAGAACTTACTCTGTGCTGAGTGCTCTGCTAGTCTCAGGGATAGAGCCTTAACAAAACAAAATCTGTTCAAAGGGACGGTAAATTCCAGTAGGCAGAGACAGACAATAAATAAAAGAAACAAGTCAATTCTACAGGCAGTTAGAAAGTGATATGTGCTATGAAGAAAAATATGGTGAGGACAGATGGTATAGGACTTGTGTTATAATTTTTAATAGGATGTTCAGGTTAAAGTTTCATTGAGACCATGGCATTGGATGCAAGACTTGAAGGAAGTGTCTGAATGATGCAGTTTTATCTTAAGGGTAAGCTAAATCTAGTAGGCAGAGAACACATTGAGTATTCAGAATGATTAAATGCATGAACTCAGTTCACATTCTCACCTACTAGATAGGGGCCTCTAAATGATAAGAGCAGACAAAAAGGTCATTTACTTGAGTGTGGAAGGAAAAGGGAGGTGGTATTTACTCTACTTGACTCAGGAAAATGCTATGGTGAAGGGCAGGACAAGTGAGCGTCAGCAGGGGTACCCGAGATAAGGGGCTTAGCAGGGTGAGAATGACGCATGGAGAAATCTGAAGGACAAATATTGCCTTTTAAACTCTTTGGCTAAGATTGTAACTGTGAGAGAGGTTTTCAGGAAAACAGTAGTTCAGAGCTAAACTCAAGAATCACGCATGGGCCAGTTAATAGATTTGTCATGAGACTTTCACATCTTTCCTCTCTCTGTCAATGGTCATATACCAGTTTCTTGTGCAATCAGAAATGAAAATGTCAAGTTATGGAGATCGATTATAGTGTGTGCTCCTCTTCACTGGTATGGGGATTCTTGGATCAGACAATTCAGATCTTTAGTGACTTCGTAACTTCAGGTCAGAGGCTCCTGCTTCCTTTTCTCCATTGCCCCTTATCTCAGAAATATCAGTTCTCTCCTCCACAGTGGCTTTTCCCCTTAAAATTGGTGAGTATAGAGGATTTCTTATTCAATTAAGAATGAGATCCCTACTCAGGTGTAAGGGATATCTCTGCACATTTCCTAAGGTAAATATTATTTCATTAGCTTTTACATAAATAACATTTCTTTCCACAATCATCAAAAAAGTGAAAGAGTTAAATAATTATTTAAAATTTTATGCTAAAAATTACTGACTTAGCTCACTATCATTCTGATTTAGGGCCAAAACATTCTAAAACTCTTGTAGATTTTAGGTGTGAGTGAAATGAATACATAGGTAGAAAATGAAAAATGTATAATTTTCAAGCAATCTCAAGCCAGTCAGAAAGAGACAGCTTAATAGACAGTGAAAGGAGCAATGACCCTTGACTGAGTCAGGAAATCTGGTTTTCCATCCTTTACAAGTAACAGGTCTTTTTCTGTTCTATGATGACTTACTTGTCATCAGGACTGTAGAAACTATGACCTTTATTTAGTTGTATATTTTGTTACCCAAGTTCTCTCTATTTTACTCTCATTCTGTTATTCTAATCAGAGACTGGAATATGTGCCAAAGCAAATATTGCATGAATCGTTTTAGAGTTAGATGGGGGCTCACGGATATATTCATAGAAGCAGCATTTACTGTACATATCTTCTATTCCTAGAATAATTCTAAAGCTTGCAAGAGAGACATGAATTTACTTCAAACACTGCCTTTCCTTGAGCAATCCAATATGAGAAGACACAGTAAATAACTCATTTATTTTACACCTGGTGGCTTTTCCTAAATCTGAATGATAAAACTCATATGGTATAATCAATTATATTTGCTTACTGGACTGTCTCTTCCAAGACTGAATTTCTCAGAATAGAGTCTCGTGCAAGATGTTCAGAAACTGTTTGAGGATGGCAGAAATGTATAGAAAAGAAGGAAGAAATCGAAGAGAGACATATGATGTTAATTCTATTTCTGTTTCTTTATCTCCGGCACTTTTGTGTCTGGACTCTCTTACACTCCCATCAGATCCCTAACTGTATTTGTTCTTCTATCTTCTCACCTCCTACAGTGACTGGGACTGTCATTGGTTATCTCTGTATTGAAGGCTGGGAATGGGGCGAGGAGCTGCAAACTAGAATGGTCAGATGATGTGTCTGGGGAAGATTGGGATAGGGGACAAAAAGTGTGATTTACAGAGCAGATCTAGTCAAAGATTTCCAGGTTATGGGGTGGGTACAAGAGAAGAAGAGTACCCATAGCGGCTGCAAGGAAGATTCAAACAGAAAGAGTCTGTTAGGCTTAAACTTTCATTTCTACTCTTAGGAAAAAGCAAATCAGCCACGTCTTTTCTTTCTTTCATTCATGAAATTTGAATCCTGCCAAGTCATTTATAGAATTGCCACTGTCTAGATATCCATTTCTTTTCCAATTCTTTCCTTTTTTTTCTTTTTTTAGTTTCTAGAATACAGATCTCCACCTATTTTTTCAAACTTATAGTTAAGCATTTCTTGTTTTCTAGTGTTATTGTAAACATACTTAAAAATATTTCTATTTGCTTATTGCTGATATATAGAAATACAATTGACATATTCATATCCTGTGACCTTATTAAACCCACATACTGGTTCTAATACCTTTTTTTTTGGTAGGTTCTTTGGGATTTTTAATGGTGACAATTATCTGCAAATAGAGTCAATTTTGCATCTTCCTTTTCAATGTACAAGTCCTTTTTATTTTATTTTTGTTTGTCTTTCTGTATTGCACCAGCAAGGGACTTGCAGTGTGTTGAATAGTGTGGTGAAAGTGGGCATCCTTGCTTTGCTCCAGATCTCAGTGGGCAAGCACTCAGTTTTTCACGATTAAGTATCCACATCTATATCTATTAAGTTATTTACACCTATATCTAAAAGGTATACACAAATAAATAAAAAAATTTAAATTTTTAACTTTAACCAAATAAATTAAACCTAGAATTAGACATTAACTTACAAACTTTGCAGGCATAATATCTTGATAGATATGTCAAGATATCGCTATACTAAGTTACAAGCCAGGTCATTATACAGTGGTAAAATTAGACTCATGGACTACTATATAATTTGATTAAGTAATCCATCTACCTTTACATGATTATTGATTTTATTTTTTTAAATAATATATATTTTAATAAAGTAAAATATGCTCAAGTTAAATACATTTTATTAGCTTGATTTTTATTTATTTAAATAGCATTCCATGCCTATAGCATGATTAATTTTGTAATTGTATTTGATGTGACTGGCCTTCCCTATTCTTAAGAACATTGGTCTACATGAGAACTAAGTGTGGAGTTTTCTAATGCCCCCAGAGGACACCTAAGTTTTAGTAGAGCTTTATTTTGTTCAGTAAATGTAGAAGAGAAATTTGAGATTCTCTCTACGTGGACAATAATTTCTCAATTTTCTGTTTTGACTGATTTAGTGTCATTTCTTTGTGACACTTTCCAGACAAAAAATATAATTCTCGAATTTTAAAAGAATAATTTTTTTATTTTATTCTTTTAAAAATATTAGGCAATTTCTGGTGATCACAAAGTGTTACAGTACAAAATTGAAGGAGTGGTACATTATCAAATTCTATAATCAAGTGATAATTAAGACATAAAAACTAGAATTGTTTGACAACAAAGGAATTAATAAATATTTCATTAAATGTGTGATCTGAAGTTGTTTATTTAACATTTCACTATTTCCAGCAGAATATTTCAGAAAGGAAACTTTTTAAGTCTTCAGAATTCTGCCAGTTAACCTTCTGATTACTGCAGTGCATATCGCAACCCTTGGTTTCCCTCAATGTTTCTCTGGTTATGTGAAGATTCCAATCCTCTGATTTCCTCCAAAGCACAGAATTTCCAATCAAGTTGTTAGCCAAGTCATTCAAAATCCAGACTTTTGAAACTCAACTCATACTGCCAAACATTTCGCTTAGCTTCTGTGGTTTTGGAAATCTGAGCCAGCACTTCTCGTATCAGGAAAGTTGGTGGGATGTTACATTAGGTCATAATAAGAAGCAAGTTTATAAGCGTTGTTTAGAGATTGGTCTCTCATTTGCTTGCCTTGGAAAATTTCTCAGGAATTATGGCTAGAAAGTGAACTATTTGTATCCACTAGGTTTATACCATCTGGAATTATCCCTGATGCCTAGTTTTCTAAAGTAATGTTGTCAAAAATTTCTTAACAAAGATGACTTCAATGGAACAAAGGTCCTGAGTCCCTCTCTCTCAACTATTTCTGCCCACAACCAGGAAAGCAACTTAAAAAAAAAGTGTAAAGTTTGGAATGACTAATATTTTTCTAATTGAAGCTAGAAAATACTCGTTTGCTTTTTCACAATATTCATATCAGAAAAAAATGTTTCTAGGTACTATAAATTTTATTTCTATTTTCAAATATATAATCTATAAATATTAAGTGAATGAGGGTATCATTTTGAGATTGATGACTGTTACAGGCTGAATTGTGTTCTGCCAAAATTCAAGTGCTGAAGTCCTAACCCCCAGTTCCTCAGAATATGATTGTATTTGGATATAGAGTGTTTAAAGAGGAAATTAAGTTAAATGAGGTCATTAGTATGGGCCCTAATCCAATATGACTGGTGTGCTTATAAGAAGAGAAAGTTTGGAAACAGACAGTCACAGGGGAAGACAATGTGAAGACACAGAAAGAAGACAGCCATGTGCAAGCCAAGGAGAGAGACCTCAGAAGGAACCAACTCTGCTGACACTTTGATGTCTAACTTCTAGCCTCCAAAACTGTGAGAAAATAAATTTCCACTGTTTAAGCCAGCCGGTCTGTGGTACTTTGTAATGGCAGCCCTAGAAAATTAATGCAGTGATGTTTTGTGGGTGCTCCAAAGAACCCTAGGGTAGCCCAGAAGGTGAACTGTGTCTATAACATGAAGCCTTGCTCCTAGCTCCTCCAATCTCCAACTGTGTGCCCTTAGCCAAATGAACCTACCTGAGCTGGTTTTCTCCTTTGTAAATTGAAGTTGATACCTACTGACTACCTCATAAGTTGGCTCTAAAGATTACACATAATAGAGGACAGTTTGGAAGATGGTGGCATAGGAGGATCCTGGACTCAACCCCTCCCAAGGACACAATAAGTCTACAACTACCTGTGGAAAAATTTCCTCTCAGAGGGACCTGGAAACTGGATAAAAAGACCACCCACAACAAGGGACAACACTGACAGGAGTGGAAGAGGCAGAAATACAGCCCTGCCAAGGAAAAAAAACACACCCTAGCCGCAGCTCTTCATGGCCAGGAGTGAATTCAAAGATCCGGAGCTTTTCCTGGAGGAGCGGGGGATCTGAGCTCCATATAAGGCATCTCAGCTCTTAGATTCAGCACAATTGAGATGAGATCCCATAATACCTGGCCTTACTGGCTTTGAAAACCAACAGGGAATAAACCTAGGAAAACTATAAAACTTCAGAGAAAGAAAAACCTGCTCTCAAAGGGCCCAAACATAGATTCACCCAGTCTGGAAACCAGCACAAAAACACCAGATAGAAAATGGCATAGTTCATTGGTAAAAGAGACTCATTTACCAAGCTTGGAGCACATCTTAGAGAGGCAGGAGGTGCCTGGGCACACACCTCCAGGGTCTGAGACACTGGCAGCAGCCATTATAATGACCCAATTCAGTCATGCTGACACAGATGTTGACAGCTGCCATTGGATTCCTTCCTCTAGCCTGTTAGCACAGGGATCTGCCCCACCCACTAGAGCACCTGAGGCAATTGAGCACAGCCAGGGCAGGCAGCCTGCCCCAAGGACAGGCCCTGCCCACCAGCAAGACTGCAGCGAAGTTCTGGGTCCACATAGGTAAGGTATGTGGGACCTCTGCAATAGGGCATGTGGGTCTGCAGCAGACTTGTGACACTGGCTATCGCAAACAGCTGTATGGGTGATCTTCCCTGCCTTCCAATACCTGAAAGGATAATGCGCTGCCATGCCTGGGGCCAGCACCACCCATATGTTCTTCTGAGGCAGCTGTGTACTGCAGCGCAAAATAGCCAGATCTGGCCAGAGGTTTGCCCTGTGCTAAAGAGAAGTGACAACAGCCACACCCCACAAGGAGCTGCACCAAAGACTTGCAGCAATTGTGAGCCCCTCAGCCCAGCAAACAGCCACACTGGGGGCCTGACATGCTTAACAGCAAAATAGCAGTAGTTGTGTGCTATTAGACCTTGCTGCCAACAGTGCCAGGCCTTGCACCTCCCTCCCCCAATAAAGTGACCATAGCAGCTGCACATGGCTGAGCCTTACAACAAGCAAGCCCAGAGTCCAGCCTAGCTTGCCCATCTGCCCACAACAATAGCAAGCCCACCACAACAGAAGGGCACATGAAGCCCATACTCCTGGAGCATTTGATGTGGGTGATGAGAGGGGAGCACATTGCTGGAACTCATATCTCTTGCATAAAGCCATATTTCTAAGATTAGGACATATAGCTGATCTATCTAATATATAGATATAAGCACAGAGAAGTAGTCAAAGTGAAGAGACAGTGGAATATGTTCCAAATAAGAGAACAGGACAAATCCTCAGAAAAAGAACTAAATGAAACAGAGATAAGCAATCTACCTGATAATCAGTACAAATTAATAATCATAAGGATGTTTACTGACTTTGGGAGAAGAATAGAAAAACATGGTGAGAACTTCAGCAAAGAATTGGAAAATATAAAAACGTACCCATCAGAACTGAAGACTACAATACTGGAAATGAAAAATTCACTAGAGGGAATCAACAACAGAGTAGAAGACAAGAAAAATGGATCAGCAATCTGGATGAAAGAGTAGAGGAAATCACCTAAGATGAGCAGAAAAAAGAAAAAAGAATGAGGACAGTCTAAGGGACCTCTGGGACATCATCAAATATATTAACATCTGCATTATAGGTGTCCAGAAAGAGAAGAGAGATACAAAGGAGCAGAGAACTTATTTGAAGAAATTATACCATAAAACTTCCCTAACCTGGAGAAGGAAACAGACATCCAGGTACAGAAAGCACTGAGACTACCAAACAAGATGAACCCAAAGAGGCCCATACCAAGACACATTATAATTAAATTGTCTAGAATTAAAAATAAAGATAGAATCCTAAAAGCTGCAAGAGAAAAGCAACAAGGTTCATACAAAGGAAACCCCATAAGGCAACCAGCTGACTTCCCAGCAGAAAACTTACCAGCTAGAAGGGAGTGGCTTGATATATTCAAAGGGTTTAAAGGAAAAAACCTATAGCCAAGAATACTCTACCCAGAAAAATTATCATTCAGAATGGAAGAAGAGATAGAGTTTCCCAAACAAGCAAAAAGTAAAGGAGTTTATCACCACTAAACTGTCCTGACAAGAAATGTTAAAGCGACTTATTTAAACAGAAAAGAAAAGACCAAAAATAGGAATAAGAAAATTATCAAAGAAAAAATATCACTGGTAAAGGCAAATATACAGTAAAGGTAGTGGATCAACCACCTATAAAGCTAGTATTAAAGGTCAAAAGGCAAAAGTACTAAAATTTTCTATTTCCATGATAAGAGGTTAAAGGATACACAAAAATAAAAGAAGTAAAATATGAATTCAAAAACATTAAATGTTGGGGGTGGGGAGTAAAATTGTAGAGCTTTTAGTAAGAAGTCAAACTTAAGAAACCATCAACTTAATATAGATTGCTTTTTAGGTAGGTTATTATATATGAACATTATAGTAATCATAAACCAAAAGCCTATGATAAATAGACAAAAAATTAAGAGAAAGGAACCCAAACACAACACTAAAGAAAGCCATCAAATCACAAGAGAAGAGAGCAAGAGAAGAAGAAAGGAAAAAAGAACTACAAAAACATCCAGAAAAACAACAACAAAATGGCAAAAAGTACATACTTATCAATACTTACTTTAAATGTAAATCAACTAAATGCTCCAATCAAAAGACATACAGTGACTGAATGGATAAAAAACAAGACCCATAGATATGCTGCATACAAGAGACGTACATTAGACCTAAAGACACTCACAAACTGAAAATGAAGGGATGGAAAAAGATACACCAGGCAAATGGAAACAAAAAGAAAGCTGGGGTGGCAATACATATATCAGACAAAATAGACTTTAAAACAAAATCTATAACAAGAGACAAAGAAGTGCATCGCATAATGATAAAGAGAACAGTCCAACAAGAGGATATAACATTGGTAAACATTTATGTGCCCAACATAAGAGCACCTAAATACATAAAACAATTATTAACAGACATAAAAGGAGAAATTTTCACAACATTACCCTGATACAAAAACCAGACAAGGACAACACAAAAAAAGAAAATCATAGGCCAACATCACTGATGAGCACAGATGCAAAAATCCTCAACAAAATACCAGTAAATCGAAAACAACAATACATTAAAAGGATCAAGTGGGATTTATTCCAGGGATTCAAGAGGAGTTCAAAATCTGCAAATCAATCAATATGATACACCACATTAACAATAAAGAATAAAAATTACATGATCATCTCAAAAGATGCAGAGAAAACATTCAACAAGATACAGGATCGACTTATGATAAAACTTTGAATAAAATGGGTATAGACGGAAAGGACCTCAACATAATCAAGGCCAAATATGACAAACGCAAAGCTAACTTCATACTCAATGGTGAAAAACTGAAAGCTATCCCCCTAAGAAGAAGAGCAAGACAAGGATGCCCACTTTCACGATTCTTATGTAACATGGTATTGTAAGTGCTAACCAAAGAAATCAGGCAAGAAAAAGAAATAAAAGGGATCCAAATTGGAAAGGAAGAAGTAAAACTGTTACTATTTGCAGATAACATATTTTATGCATTAAAAACACTAAAGAATCCACCAAAAAACTGTTAGAAATAGTAAATGAATATGGTAAAGTCACAGGGTACAAAATCAACACACAAAAATCAGTTCTGTTTCTATACACTAACAATGAAATAGCGGAAAGAGAAGTTAAGAATATAATCCCATTTGCAATTTAAAACAAAAATAAAATACCTAGGAATGAATTTAAACAAAGAGCTGAAAGACTTGTACACTGAAAACTACAAAACATTCTTGAAAGAAATTGAAGAGCAGAAAGAAATGGAAAGATATGCTGTGCTTATGGATTGGAAGAATTAACATAGTTAAAATGTCCATACTTCCTAAAGCAATCTACAGATTCAATGCAATCCTCATGAGAGTTCCAATGACATATTTCACAGAAATAGAACAAAGAATCCTAAAATTTATGGAACAACAAAAGACCCTGAATAGCCAAAGCAATCCTGAGAAAAAAGAACAAAGCTAGAGGTATCACACTCCATGATTTCTAAATATACTACAAAGTTATAGTAATCAAAACAGCATAGCAGTGTCACAGAAAGAGACACACAGATCAATGGAACAAAGTTGAAAGCCCAGAAATAAAACCACACATCTATGGACAGCTAATTTTCCACAAAGGAGCCAAGAACATACAAAGGAGAAAGGAAAGCATCTTCAATAAATGGTGTTGGGAAAACTGGACAGCCACATGAAAGAATGAAAGTAGACCATTATCTTACACCATACAGAAAAATTAACTCAAAATGGATTAAAGACTTGAATGTAAGACCTGAAACCATAAAATTCCTAGAAGAAAACACAGGTAGTACACGCTTTGGCATTGGTCTTAGCAGTATATTTTTGAATACTATGTCTACTCAGGCAAGGGAAACAAAAGAAAAAATAAACAAATGGGACTACATCAAACTAAAAATGGTTTCCTCTGCATAGCAAAGGAAACCATCAACAAAACTAAAAGACAATCCATCAATTAGGAGATAATATTTGAAAATCATATACCCGACAAGGGGTTAACTTCCAAAATATATAAAGAACTCATACAACTCAACAACAAAAAAATGAACAACCTGATCAAAAAGTGAGAAGAGGATATGAACAGACATATTCCAAAGAAGATATACAGATGGCCAACAGGCACATGAAAAGATATTCAACATCACTAATTATTAGGAAAATGCAAATCGAAACTCCCATGAGATATCATCTCTTGCCCAAAAGAACGGCTATAATTAACAAGCCAAGAAATAACAAATGTTGAGAGGATGTGGAGAAAAGGGAATCTGCATAAGGGAACATGGTGGGAATGTCAACTGGTACAGCCATTATGAAAAACAGTTTGGAGATTTCTCAAAAAATTAAAAATAGAAATATCACATGATCCAGTCATTCCACTACTGAGTATTTATCCAAAGAACATGAAATCAATAATTCAAAAGATTTATGCACCCCTATGTTCATTGCAGCATTATTCACAATAGCCAAGGCTTGGAAACAACCCAAGTGCCCATCAATGGATGACTGGATAAAGAAGATGTGAGATATATATATATATACACACACACAAAGGAATACTTCCCAGTCATAAAAAAAGATGAAATCTTGCCATTTGTGACAACATGGATGGACTTTGAGGGTATTATGCTAAGCAAAATAAATCAGATGGAGAAAGCCAAATACCATGTGATTTCACTCATATGTGGAAGATAAAAACAACAACAACAACAATAAACAAAAATATAGAGATTAGATAGGTGGTTACCAGTAAGAGGGCAGGGTCGAGGGCAAAAAGAGTAAAAGGGCAAATGTATACAGTGATGGACGTAATGAGTTATTGAGTAGTGAACACGGTGTAGTCTACACAGAAATCAAAATATAATGATGTGTGCCTGAAATTTATATAATGTTATAAACCAATGTTACCTCAATAAAAAAAATAAACTTAAAAACAAAGATTTGAAAAGATTACACTTAACAGTGCAAGTGAAATCACACATAACATACAAAGTAGTCTCTAAAGCTAATGGAATCTTAATGTTCTCTGATCTGTTTGACCTACTCTGGGCATCACATGATGCAGCCAAAGACAGCTTTGTTCTCATGTTTCTGCCATATACTCAGACACTGATTGAAGCAGTAGATTCTGCCTATAAATTTTTAGTTAGAACATCTAAGAGTTTTCTCTCTCCAAAATAGTTTTCCTTAATTCTATCCCCAAACCTCTCTATCTCTTGGCCAAAGCCTCCTTGATTTCCTTCCTTGACTCTTTACTTGCTTCCATTGTGTTAAGGAATCTTCGAAACTTGTCTTGCCCAAGTCGGGGTGGCAGGAGAGGAGGGGAAGGGACAGACCTCAATAGGATTAGGGCTGGAACTTGTTGAATCTAAGGTGAGATTAGCACTTTATCTCTAGACCTAAGGGATCAAATCAAGACTAGTTGGCCAGATTAGGAAAATAGTCAGCAACCCAGACTAGTCTATGTCTAGAAATTCTAAAACACACCTATCTTTGTTTCCTCGAAAAAGTCAACAAAGCTAATCTGGTTTGCTTTTCAATAATCTATTTTACTGTTTCCTTAAAGATTAGGAATAAAAATATTGTCTGTCCCCTAATCTCAGTCTGTGTGTAGAAGGGCACCAAAGCTTGCCAGGTATAGTGGAGCTACTCTGGTGTGTGACCTTCTTTCTAGAAGCTATACATTTCAAAGCCAACTCACTTTCACTAAAAATATAATAACATAAATAAAATACACATTCTCTTCTCTAAAGCATGGTTTTATGTAACCTAATGTTGCCTTTAAGTGTGATTATTTATTGAAAACTCTTTTCTTTCTTTGTATTCACTTAGCCTACCCCTCCACAGTACCATGTGACTGACAGGGAAATCCCAGCTGCACTGTGGATGGGAAAAGGGCTTACTACCTGACCCAAAGGATGCCAGCAATTTACTCTATGAAATCCCTAACCTATTTCAACTTCTGTCTCTGCCTGCTACAATCAATTGGATTTGATCTGGGGATATACAGCACTTCAGAACATTCACTATGAAATGATTGACACAATAAAGAAAACTTTCCTAGATGCAAAGCTCTGGGTTTTATTGACAAATGGAATTTTTTTTCTTAATGTTATTATTTATTTTCCACATTCTTCCACAATATTCCTTATTTTACTGTAATATTTTTGTTCTATGAAAAGAAGTACAGAAATATTCATTACTACATTTATTACCTATACCATTATTTTTCAATGCTGACATTGAATTCATAATGCATGTAAAATAACCTTTTGCAACACATTATTTTTGTATGTGTGAGAAAGATTAGCCCAGAGCTAACATCCGTTGCCAATCTTCCTCTTTTTGCGGAGGAAGATTGGCCCTGAGCTAACATCTGTGCCCATCTTCCTCTATTTTATATGTGGACCACCTGCCACAGCGTGGCTTGATGAGTGGTGTGTAGGTCCACACCCAGGATCTGAACCCGCAAACCTTAGGCAGCTGAAGTGGAGAGCGTGAACTAAACCACTACACCACCAGGCTAGCTCCTGCAACAAGTTTTTTACCTATAGGGAATCCTTATATTGTTGTGAGTATTCTTCCCTCTGTTTTTCATTGCCAGTCAGTCTCATTCAACATGC